CGGATGTCTGCTGGAGGGCTGGGGTAAATGGAGAGAGGGTGAGCCAGGTGGTGGCTCCGACTGGGGCTTCGAGGGCGAGGAGCGCCCACCCGCGTGGGGCACCGGGTCCCGCGCGCCTGCAGCCGGGCTCTGAGAGTCCAGGGTCGCAACTGGGAGGCGTCGGGGCCAGCCCGCGAGCTCTGACTCCCGGAACAGCAGACAGTCCCCTGACCGCAGCGGGGTTTTAAGGGCCCCCGCCCGCTCTGAGGCGTCCCAGCCGGCAAAGTCGAACCACAGCGACCGGGAAAAGAAGGCAGGAGTCCGGTGGGGGCGGCGGAGGGAGGACCTGAGCTTTGCCTAGTCGCTGCCGAGAGCTTTCTTGTAAGAAATTGCTCAGGCGCCCAGCCAGTGGGACCCGCATCTGGCTCCTCACGTAATCATCCTCCCCGCCCCCCCCCATCCCGCGATCTAGAGCCTTCTTCTTTAAAACGTGCTTTAATTATTTTTAAATGGCCGGCGGTCCTGCGGCCGCTTTGTGCACACACTTTCACTGCGGGGCTTGCCGGCACCTCCGCACCTCGGTGCTGTGCAGCGAGTTTCGCGAGACACGAGAGGGAGGTGGAGGAAACTCTGGGTTCTGGGGCTGACTTCGAAACGTCTCTCCCCTAGTATTCCGGCTGCTTTCAGGACAGCAGGAGCGAGAACTGGGGTGGGGGTGGGGATAGGGAACGTCTAGGTACAAGATGCCCCCAATCGCTCATAGAGGATGCTCTCGCCCTTGGTATTGCCAAGGTAGGGCGAGAGGGGAAACTGTTATACTAGCCAGCCTCTTCTCCCTCCCTCAAGCAAGGGTCCTAGGAATTACCTTCCTCCCAGCAGCCCACAGCGGTCTGGCCAAAGTGAACACAACCATTTTCCTGAGTCGGGTGGGGTGGTGGATAAACTTTTCCTCTGGGTTGTGGGCCTGGCCGTGGCGCGGGGAAGAACGACCACTGCTTGTGTTGCAGGTGCGCATGGTGAGAGGGGAGCTGGTGGACGAGTCGGGGGGCTCTCCTCTGGAATGGATAGGGTTAATCCGGGCAGCCAGGAACCCCCAGGAACAGACTCTCGAAGCTATTGCAGACTTACCCGGAGGACAGGTACTGTGGGCTTCCCCCCACTGCCAATTCTACCTACCTAACCGTTACTGAGGTGGCCACCAATATCAAGAGCAAAGCGCTTTTGTTGGAGGTCTCATTTAAACGTCCCCCAAACCCTGTAAAGTAGATACTATTATTTTCCCCATTTGAAGAATGAGGGAAATGAGGTTCAGAGAGATCCAGTAGATTTTCCAGGGTCACACAGCGTCAGAACGAGCATTCCAACCTTTCCTTTTAGTTGTTTTTAGACCGATTACCCAGGAAATGACAGCAAGCTGTCCTGTTCCTTGTGTCCCAGATTTTCTACCGAGCGCTGCGAGATGTCCAGCCAGGGGAGGAGCTGACGGTGTGGTATTCCAACTCCTTAGCTCAGTGGTTCGACATCCCCACGATCGCAACTCCGACGCACGACGAAAAAGGTACCGCGTCCGAGAGGGCCTCCGGGCCAGCGCGGGTGGGTGAAAGTCCAGCCCTTCTCCGGTCCTTGGACGCGACAGGGCCTTTCTCTCGAGCCGTGTAAAACTGAATTCACCCTCCCTGTCTCTGTAGGCACAGAGGCGATGTCACCACTACCTCCTTAAAATCAACAGTAAAGGATAACAGCGACAATAACCTGCCTTGTGATGGCAGGGGAAAAAACATTTTTTTTTAAAGATCTATTTATTGAGAGAGAGAGAAAGTGGGGGGAGGGGCAGAGGGAGAGGAGAGAGAATCTCAACCAGACTCCCCGCTGAGCGTGGAGCCCCACATGGGGCTCCATCTCACCACCTTGAGATCTTGACCTGAGCCGAAACCAAGAGACCAGGGCTTAACCTACTGAGCCACGCAGGCGCCCCCCAAAAATTCTTTATGAACTTCATGGGGGTCATCTTTTCCTATTACATACCCAGAGACAATTATTTACTCAATTAAGAATCAATAAAGAAGCCTTAACATATTATTAATCATATCATGAGCTCCAAAAAGCAAAACTCAAACCTGGAATGTTTTAGAAGGTGGAGGGGCTTCTCTTCACTGGTTTGAAGGAGAGTAATGTGTTTCTACCGCATTTTAGAAGCATTACGGTACTTACAGCTGGTCAGTTGGCAGGTACTGAGGCCCTTCCATTTAAATGGTATTTATTCATTTCCCCCTCCCTACTTAAATTGAATCTGGGATGTATCCCAGTTTCTTCTCAGATGTATTTGATCCCTTCCAAAGCCAAGAGTGGATTTATGCAAATTAAGGGGCAGTAACTAAAGAGAAGAATATTTTCAAACCTTCCCTAGAACACTGAAGAACATTTTCTGTGAAAGAAAGCTGGGAGGTGCTAAAATAGTTAAGATCTTGAGACCTCCCTTTTAATTCACAAAGCTTCCAAAAACTTTTTCCTTGACAATTGTTTTAGTTTGAAATTTCTTCTAAAGGCACAGTTAATGTTAAAGTGAACACAACGAATGCTGTGAAATATTTTAACATGCTCTCCTCCTGAATTGCCTGCTCAAGTCTCATCCTTTTAGAAATATGGTTAAAGAAATTAATACAAATGTGAGCATTAAGAAACACTTCATGAATAAGACAATGAAGTTTATTCAGAACGATGAATCACTTCACTTCAAAGTATCACTATCTTGTGGGTAGATTTGTATGTACAGTATTCATAAAACATTATCCTAAAGTAAGTTGTTCCTTGTATCACACTATATTAAATTCTCTTGTCAACTTCTTCCAGTAAAAGAGAAACATGATAAAAGCCCCGTAGTGGAGAACTCTCAAATCCGCCACTACAGGACAATTCTAACAGCTGCTGACCTTTAGGGGCCAGACATTTCTACACAGAACACCCCTCCTTAGGCACTCTCAAATAGTACAAAAGCAACTTGTTTGAGTGGTGGTCCTTGTGTTTTCATTTCAGCCAACAGAGCTTATAAACAGATGTCAGAATAGACACCATTTTCCTTTTGGGAATGTATGGGCTATTTTGAACCCTGACTTCCCCACCTTTGATATGCTTGAAATCTTGGCAACCTCAGGGTTACACCAAGGAGAGGAGGCAAAGTCACTTATGAAGTGTGTAGCATAGGCTGGATTTCAGAGTCCAGAGAACATGTCAGTTGGTTAGGATAAACTGAAAAAGGAGCATATTGAAACAGAGAACACATTTGCTTAACTCTTGAAAAGAGAAAGAAATAAGTAGGGATGGCCGCTATTCTTCCAATATTGACTAACTCCAGTGGATTTAGATTCCATGATAAGCTTAAGGAAAGTACGGACCTTTTGTTTTAGGGATAAAGCTTACTTGGCTTTGCAATTGACTAGAGTCATTCTGGGGCAGCCTCTGAAAACTCCTTTAAAAAGGGGGTAATGAGAAGAAGGTTCGGAGAAGGGAGGTTATTTAAGATATTAAATCAATATACCCACTAAGAGAACCCAGGAAATCTCTTTTTTTTTTTTTACAAGGTAACATAAATAATGAAATGATTTTATCTAAGTCTTCCATAAACAATTAGCGTAGGTTCTCAGAGGCAAATCCTCTTTCCCACCCCCCTTTTGCTTTCCGCTCTACCTTGGCTTCAGCTGAAATAAACAGATCCTTACCTGAACTTCCGTCTTAGTTATCTAGGGGGACTACTTGCTTTATGCAAAGCCAAAAGTAAAATACATGAAGGGAAGAAGATCTGGAATTTCTTTCAGTTGTTTTTATAGTGATGTTTCAGAAGTTTGAGCTGCTTGTGTACAAGGGGGGAGGGAATTTAACTTTTCCATTAAATTTAATAAGACAGACCTATTTGGGGTACTTAACTAACTTCTTTCTCACAGACATCCTTCAGTATTATCAATCAACCGTAACATTAAAAAAGAAACCCACTGCAAGATCACTGTTCTGTGTCCAGATATAACAAGACCTTTTTAAGTGAAAATTAACTTCCGCCATGTGATCAAGATCTGTTTCATACATGTGTCTCTTGATTGTGTTCCCAGACCCTGGCAAAATTAAAAAAAAAACAAACAACTAATGCCAATAATATTAAATACGAAAAAAGACTTGACACCAAAAACATGTATACAGTTCCTGGTAGAGAATTGTACACTTATTAAAAGCTGAGTACCTCCATATATCTCTATATATTCATGTATTTCATAAAAAATAAACTATCTTTCCCAAGGACTTTATTATATTAAGCCTGGATTCGTGGAGCTATCTAGGAGTTAATTACTCCAGGTAGAACAACTGACAAGATAATGCAACATCATCCTTCAGTTTTTAGAATATCAGGACATAGGGCTTTTTCTTTTCTCTCATCAAATTAAATGGGGTTAAAGAGGAAATAAAGATACAAATAATTTCGAAGAATAGCAGATCATAGTCCCTATGTGGTCCTTCAGTTGGTCACGCTCCAGGAAAACCTCAGGCAAAATGTTTAAGGCTGGGAGGGGGTGGGAAGGGTGGGTAGTGGACATAAAAGGCATTGTTCTGTGAAAAGGAATGATTACATATGGCCCATACATACAAGATATTGTCTCGCCTGGTAATGAGGCGCTCACGACCATTAGATTGGTCTTTGTTCAGTTTATCCAAACTCCTTGACATACGCCACCTATTCTGCAAACGCCAACAGATGGGCCCGGGCACAGCACAGCCTCAACACTTGATTTAAAGCAACAGCTGCTCTCTGTTCTGGTCTCTTCCCCGGCCAGTCTGCCTGAGCGCTGCCCTCCCAACGAAGATTTGCTCTGATTGCCCGGAGAAAGTCTTCGTTGGAAAGGCACAGGTCACCCCTTTGGCCTCTGAGTAATCCCAATGGATGGATATGGTGACAAAGTTGGCCATTTGCGGCTTCTCAGGGTCCTTGCTGCGGTGGGGCTACCGAACTAACTCACTTATTCGCTGGACCCAAGAATACTCCTGTTCCTCCTCATACCGCTGATCAAAATCTGGGCTTTGCCTTGGGTGCGCTTTCTTTCTCTCTTGCTTTTTCGCCTCTCACGGGGTCGCTTTCCTACTTTTTGTCGCCCAGGGGAGGAGCGCTACATTTGCTGGTACTGCTGGAGGACGTTTAGATACCCCAACAGCCTTAAGGCCCATCTACGTTTCCACTGCGTGCTCAGCACCGGCGGGGGCCGAGCCTACCTGCACCAAGAGCACGGGGCTCGCCAAGGCGCTGCCCCGGCCGCGGATGGCCTTCACTTCTCTCCGAAACCCCCGGCGCCTGACTTTGCCGCGGCCGCCCCCGCTGGCACTCTGCGGTCCCACCCGCAGGCCCCGCCGCCCCTCCAGGCCTGCGGAGCGCGGGAGAGCATTAAGCGCGAGGCCTCCTCTGCGCCCTCCGCCCCTTCGCCGCCCCCGGCCAAGTGGGGGCAGTCCAAGAAGGGCAAGGAGCAGCCGGACCGCGCCCTAGACATGAGTGGGGCTGCCCGGGGACACGGCCACTTCCTCGGCATCGTGGGCGGCTCCCCAGCGGGGGGCGGCGGCCTGGCCTTCTACCCCGGAGTGCGCTCGGCTTTCAAGCCTGCCGGCTTGGCCAGGGCGGCCGCGGCCGCACACGGCGACCCCTACCGGGAGGAGGGCGGCGGCAAACCCGGGTCCGGCCTGGCCTTGGGCAGGCTGCTGGGCGGGGGCCGGGCGGGCGGGCGCCCGGGAAGCGGGGAGAACCCCGCGGCGGGCAGCACGGGCCACCACCATCACCACCACGCGCACCACCACCATCACCACTCTAAGTGCCTGCTCGCGGGGGAGCCGCTGCCACCTCCTCCGCCTGGCCTACCCTGCTCTGGGGGCCTGCGCGGTTTCCCTCTGCTCCCTGGCCCCGCGGAAGAGGCGTCAGCCTTCAAGCATGTGGAGCGCGCCCACCCCGCCGCGGCTGCGCTGCCGGGAGCGCGTTTCGCCCAGCTGCCCTCTGCGACCGGGCTGCCCGTCGAGCGCTGTGCGCTGCCGGCCCTCGACGCGGGCGGGCTCAAAGCCTACCCCGGTGGCGAATGCAGCCACCTGCCTACCGTCATGCCGGCTTTTACCGTCTACAACGGGGAGCTACTCTACGGCTCACCGGCCGCCGCCGCTTATTACCCGCTCAAACTGCACTTCGGCGGGCTGCTCAAGTATCCAGAGTCCATCTCATACTTCAGCGGGCCTGCGGCGGCGGCGGCAGCGGCCGCTCTAAGCCCTGCAGAGCTGGGCTCGTTGGCTAGCATCGACCGAGAGATCGCTATGCACACGCAGCAGCTGTCGGAGATGGCGGCCGGGAAAAGTCGCGGCCGCCTGGACGCGGGGACGCTACCACCGGCCGTCGTGGCAGCGGGTGGCCCGGGGGGTGGCGGCAGCGGAGGTGGCGGCGCCGGCAAGCCCAAGACCGGCCACCTGTGTCTCTACTGCGGCAAGCTGTACTCGCGCAAGTACGGGCTCAAGATTCACATGCGGACGCACACGGGCTACAAGCCGCTCAAGTGCAAAGTGTGCCTGCGGCCTTTCGGCGACCCCAGCAATCTGAACAAGCACATCCGGCTGCACGCTGAGGGCAACACCCCCTACCGCTGCGAGTTCTGCGGCAAGGTGCTGGTGCGCCGCCGGGACCTGGAACGCCACGTCAAGTCCCGCCACCCTGGACAAAACCTGCTCGCCAAGGCGGGCGAGGGCCCAGGCGCAGAGCCTGACTACCCCCCGGAGCCTGGGGAGCCCAAGAGCGACAACGACAGCGATGTGGACGTCTGCTTCACGGACGACCAGAGCGACCCTGAGGCTGGAGGCGGCGGCGAGTGCGACTCGTAACGAGTCGTCCGGGGAGAGGGTGGGCTTGGGGGGCGTGGACAGAGATAAGAAGGTGGGGGTGGTTCTGTTTTGGGAGAAGAGAAGCTCCCCGAGATGAGAAGGATCCGGTTGACAAAACCGTTTTTATTTTGGTCGGGCGCCAGATTTGGAAGAGTGAAAGGTCCCGGGTCCGCTGCTTAAACTCGGAGCAAAGGTTTAGAAGTGGCTCAAAGAAACCTGGCCTTCTGCGCAGCCCGAGGGTGGCCGGTCCCGGCGCGTCCTAGACCCTTGGACTCCGCGGGTAGGCCCTTCCACGAAACGCCCAGGAGGTCCACTCTCAAGGTTTAAGATTGCATTAATGTGAACTTCACAGAGCCCTCGAAGGCGCCGATTTTAACTGCCATGTATTTTTAAATTGTTCTTTTCTGTGGAGGAAATTGTGCCTTTTGAAATGATGGGTTTTTTTGTGTGTGTGTTTTACATTAGCATTTCACTAAATAGGCAAAACAGTAGTCACAGTTCGGTAGATGTGACATCCATACATTTGTTTCCATTTCATCTGTTCTCGGGTCAAAGACTACGCCTTCCCGCATTGGCTATATAGTGGTAGCAGGTATACAAATTGGTCAAGTTGCAATTATTTATAAGAGTAATGACATGTAAAATATCTAAAGCATGAATCTAAAAGCACGCAGTATATAATTTTAAGGAAAATGTCTTATTTGGTAGAGTACAAATGTGATGTATGTTGTTTTACAATGAATGATGTACAGTTGATTCAGTATTTTGGTCTTGGTTCCAGTTTGTGCAATCTTTAATAAAAATAAAAATAAAAATGAGTTTCTTCACTTAGCGATTTCAGTAGATCCTTTAAAGAAAGAGTTTAATTTGAAAACAATTTATGAGGAGACTCCATAATAAAATGAATCCTAGGACACTTGAAGACTTTGATTATTCATAAAATAAATGTTTAGTGTTTTAATAGGGAAATATACCATTTTCAATATGTGCAATTCACGGGCTCCCAGATAGCAGGCAAAGCAATTGTCTTCTGAAACCACTGTTAATTATGCTAAGAGTTTTCATGTTTAGGAAAGAATTAATGACCTTCAAGAAAAAAAATGCGTATTCCTCATCAACAAGAATTATAGAACTGTAGAATCACTATTTCTTGTTATATACCGTTTTGACAGGAGGATTTTCCTTGGGAAGCAAACAAGGGAAACTTGTGCAGTGCTTTTTATGATTCATACACTTTAGTATTCATTCAACAAATGCTAAAGGAGGTACTGATCTACTGGTCTGTGCAGCTTGCTTTTCTCCATGCACTCTTTCCAATGATCTTGTGCTTTTTGTAAGTGTCCGATTTTACGGATAAGAAAATATACACTTCAAGGTCACTGGGAGGCCCATAATGAGAAGGACAAAGTTATAAACAATGACTTTGTTTATGGGTATAAAAAATTAATGCTAGCTAATGGAAGATTCATAAAGGATATATTTCTGTGGGCTAAAATTGGAAAGCACCCTCTCCCCTTCCTATGCCACCCTCCAGCCCCATATTTGGGGGAGGATTTCACTGAAGTTACCTAGAAGTAGAGGATTAGCTATCCCCTCCACTAAGGTCAGGTACCCTAAGAGCCCAGGTCTGTAGTGCTTGTCCCAGAGGTTGGTGGGAAGATTCTTTTTTTTTTTTTTTCTATTCCAAATTTTTATTCTATCCATACATATATTTTTATAAACTCTATGAATAGCCCTTTTGGTGGGAAGATTCTTGTAGGCCACCAAAGGGTCTGGATATGATCCTGATGATTTAACTCAGTTAAAAATGACTTTTATTTTCTGAGTCCTGAGTACTGCAGCAGTCTCCACCCTGCTGTCTCCCAGTTGGGAACATGGCCTCAGTCACTGGGTGGCTGCGGGGACTTTTTCTAACCCATCACAGCAAGAGGCATGGGTGGAGGGAGGGAGAGGACACCTGACTTCTATAGGGGCTGATCATCAAAAAGACTTTTTCCCATGAGAAAATTTATGGAGGCAATTTTAGGTTTTTAGCATCAGCTGACCAGAAAATGTTTTGCTTTGTGAAAGAAAGCCCAAATATATATATGTGTGTGTGTGTGTGTGTGTGTGGATTAACATGTATATATGGGTGACAATGAAACTACCATTTATTGAGGGCCTACTCTACACCAAATCCTCGTGCTATTTGCAATTCTTTCCTCCCTGCAGAAGATGACCATGGGCTTGGCCCACTAGGTTCTGTGATGCCCTGATACACAGAACTGGAAGTGAACTCAAGCATCTTCCTGTTCAGCTTGCTCTAGGCACCCAGGACTTACTTCTCATTGCCTATATAGTATCATAGTCCTGCCCTTCGAAGCAATTATTGCTTGAAACAAAATCCAACCTTATAAATATTGGAAAACTTTCCTGCAATCAGACTGTGTAAGTCCTCAGGGAAAGTGAGAAAGTCTGCCCAGATTTAAAACGTGAAAAGTTTTATCCACTGTAAAAGTTTCCTTCTTTCATTAACTAGCTCACTACTAAGTCTTACAACTTTTATTGTTTTAAAGAAATAAAAAGTTTGGTCAAAGGAAATATATTTAAAATTGATAAAGATTTAATAAAACAAAAACCCCCTAGCCTTCTTTTCCCCTTTGTAAATTGATATCGACTAGGTTATTAAAATAAATTTCAGTATAAAAAATGAAAGTTGAATATAGATTTAAAAGGTTCTTAATAGCAGACCATTTGTAATTCTCTATAGGTTGCCTTGAATAACCTGTATATTTGTTCATGGATGTGCACACTATCATATATAATGAATGTGATTATTTTAATGGTGAAGTCAAATCAGTGATGTACAATCAGTAACATTAATACTACTTATTTAAATGGCTCAGTTGAATTAGTGTTTCTCAGATGACTTCTTTTCGTCTCCAGTCCCTTTGTCTCCCATTCCCAGACTCCAATCCTTGATCCTTCTCAAGGATCAAGCACAATTTATTAAAAAGATGAACTAACTTTGAGGGTTATGCTAAAGCCACTGGAAGTTTCTAAGATTTTAACTAAATATTTTGTACCAAGAGATTAAAAACATGATAGCAGGATTTATGTATTTTAGAAGTAAAAGTATCTAGGTTGTTTGGGCCTTAATTTGGACATTAAAATGTTTTGCTAACCTAAATAAATCAGACACGGGTTCTAGGCTTGCCTCTACCACTTACTTACTTGGTATTTTGGGCCAGTCTCTCTACTGCCTCAATTTCCTCATCTGTTAAACAGGTTGAAATAAGCAATAGGGAGGTTGTGAGGATTGAATGAGTTAATGCAGGTAAACTGCTTAGAATAAAGCCTGATGCATTGTAGGCTCTCAGACAATATTAAAATAACCTTAGTAATTCTGTGGTTTCATTTTGAAGACATCAACCAACGAGATAAGGGTTGACGCCCTTTTACAAACGTCAGCATTTCGTTCTCTCCTTGGCTCACTTCTAGCCCCGGACAAATTAGCACCAACTTCAGTAAATAAAGGCCTTTCACGCTTTTGCCAAAGAGAAACTTCGTCAGATCCCTTATTAAATCATCTTTCCTTTTAAGCTCAGACATCAACCTGTTCAAGCGCCTCATGGCGGTTAAGTGAACAGGCAGAATGCGTTTCGTCTGTTTTCACTAATTTTTGAAATGCACGTCCGTGCGGTGAGTTTAAGCAGAAGCCTGCGGAGGAGGTGAGCGCGAGTACGTCTCTCCTCCTGAGTCGAGCAGAGAGCGGAACACACAGAAAGAGCTGCAATTCCTCAACACTCTACTCTGGGGAAAGTTCATTCCGTCTAGACTCTGAGGTAAGGAGGTGAGTGGCGGCGGGGCTCCAGGTTAGGACTGCACGTCAGGGGAGCGGAAGGAGCGTGTGGTCGTGTCGGTGCCGGGCCGCCAGAGACGTGAGGGCAGTGATTGGCTGCTCTCCTTTAGCCTGAACGCTCCCATTGGCTCATTCCTTGGAGCCAGGGCTGCTATTGGTGGCAGGCTGGCCTCGCGCGAAGGTTTGCCTCCCAGGAAGCCCTAGCCCACTGGCGGTGTGGCGGCCTGAGTGGGTGCCGCAGCGTCCGGTAGTGAGTGTGCCGCTCTTGCAGCTCACGGCTTCGCTCTCCCTGGGAAAAGGGGGTTTCGGGTTCTGGGTTGGGGCAGAGGTGTGGGAGTCTCGCTACGTTTAAGTGTAGTGTCTGGGAGCCCCGGAGGGGCAAGGAAAGCGGTACCCGCCTCCCCCTTCCCCCTTGCAGCGCCCAGTGGGAGGCCGAGGGAGTTCCTGGCGCCTAACTAGTCCTTGTTTAAGTGCTCCTGCCCTGCTGTGGCGGGGAGCTGCGGCACCAGCGCTGCGGCGCCCTCGCCATCTGCTGCCTCCCCAAAGGGAAGGGGGCATAGGCGCTGGCGCCGTCGGGAGGTCAGACTTGACCCTTGGCCACCCAGGTGTGAGTTGTGAAGGGGAGGACTCAACAGACGGCGGGGCCAACGTGTTTAGTTCCAGAAGGAGCGTGGCGCTCGCTCTGGGCTGGGTGACCTTCCTACAAAAGATGAAAGGAGCGCTGCTGTCATCTGCGACTGTAGTTTAATTCAAATTAGGTGTAACCAGTTGTACGACAACTTGTTAAAGCCTTTGGCTTGAGAACCGTCCCAGGGCCCTTAAAGGGACCGAGGTTGGGTGGACTATATCTATGCATGTAAATCCTTTAAGGACACTGATTTTATTTCAAGTGCAATATGTTTTCATTGTTTAAATTTTAGCATTTCATGTAAGTAGATAAGCACAATTTATTAAAAAGATGAACGTGATAGCATAAAAGACAGATTTTTGCAATTAGAATTAAACAGATTGAGGAACATTTTCCTGTAGAGTGAGGAAACTTTATTAAAAATGAAATATATTGGATATCCAAATATGAGTATGGTCTACCTTTTTTTTTTCTATCCACATATGTATTTGCATACTTTGGTATTTTTTAAAAAATTTTTTTTTAGATTTT